AAACGGAGTCCGGTGTGAGGATTTGTTTTTGTTATTTGCCACTTTTCCTCTCCCCAACGTGGGACCAACTTACAGGAAAACCGTTTATCCACTATCATCTGTGGCTATACTAATTAGCATTAGCATTCAGGACAGGCTTTGCTAGTGGGGATGACTAAAAGCACTAAGACCCTCCTGTCAGGAGTTGGGGTTTTTGTTTTGCCTTTTTTTTCTGTTCCTATGGCTTGCCATCACCACCAGATGGCATCGTGGAGGCTAGGATAGGAGGACTGAAGGGCTGACGTCACCGTCACACCGGTTCCCAATCCACTCGTCAGCGGGACTTTAAGAGGCGGTGACTGCCAGCATACCAACGCTTGAGTGTTAGCCAGTAATGGTAACCCAGAGCCCTCTCCAGCGATCTAGTCAAGCTTCCTGTTGATTCTGATCTAACGCCCTCTGTTGTTTGGATTTTTTCAGCTGTTCCTGCAACTTCAAGTCTGGCTGTAGTCCCGAGTTTCCCCTTGCGACGCCGTGGGCACGTTACCCGTTGGTGCCCAAGGCGGCCACCACTCACCTTTTCCTCCGTGAAACAAGAAGTGGTGTCTGGGAATCCAAGCAGGCAGTCCGCTCGCTCTCCGTGACGACGTCAGGATCCTATTACCTGTCCGCCCTCCACCGCAGCACAACCTCCACCTCCAGCGCCCCCACACCTGGCCACGCCGTTGTTTTTTCCCCCTCTCCGAGTAAGCATACAACTTTTAAGCTCTGGAAAATCCCCCCACGGTCCCTGAACTCACCTCCCGATCTGTTGTTGTTCCCAGAAGTCCTGGCTTACCTGTCTGTCGCCGTCCCTTCGATGTTTGAGAGCCTACCTGGAAATCTTTTAATAAATCACTTTAACTGATCTTTCGCGTCCCGAGTGTGTTCTGCATGTGGGTTCGTAGTGTAAATGCCAAGATGACACCTCCCCCTGGCTCTGATTGGATGTTCCTACATAGCACTGGTAGCATGTTTTCATGACATGAAAATTTCACCAATTATTTAAAAAAATATTTTTTACAAAAGTTACATACTGCACCTTTAAAAAAACTCAATACTTTTTCTCTGTTAATAAAGCTTTGCTAACACTATTTATGATATTATGAGGTATTTTGGATTGTTTTTCCATTAATAGGACACAAATGTCATATTTCTTCTGCTTCTTAGTATTTTTTCATTCATTTTCATTATTAAGG